GTAAAAGTACAAGGGAACAACAATAAAGGACTTACTTTTGCAGGTAAGAGAGAAGGCTGGCGCGAGCAGAAGGATCCAGGGAAGGCTTTGTATAGGATGGTAGTCTTCTAGTATGCTGCTAAATAAATAAATAAATAAATATTCATATATACATAGATATAATAGCAAGGCTAGTGGATGCACGAGTGTACCGCAAGGAAAAGCAAATGATATAATGATGGGATTATAGAATTGTGTGTTGTGGGAAGAGAAGGTTACACGTAGTTCATAAACTATGTGTATCATGCAAGTAGCAGTACAGGTGTTGGTAATACGAGCAAGTGACATGTGTGATGTATTCTAGCCATGAGTAAAGTAGAGTCTTGTAGTGCTTGTATCCACTATTTGTGCATATCATATATCTAGTTTGTTCAATGGCAGTTGAATTGCATCTTTAGCGTGTTGAAGGGAAGTTTCTGAAAGCAATAGGAGTGGTTGACAGTAGATTCTGGTATTCTTCTTGTTGAAGCTATTACTGGTTTTTGCTCGTTTGTTAAGAGTTTTTATAAATTTTTTATAGGAGTGGGACTGGCTGCAAAATGGGAATCATTCTATTTGTATATGTTTATTGGAGAAGCATTGGGTTCAAGCTATTCTGGTAATGTGTGCTGGCTCATATATACGAATCGGTGGTAGATTTCCACTATCTGTACAAAGACCTTCAATATCTGAGACCTAGCTCCATGCTCTTGTGAGGGTTTAAAAAAAATTAATACATGATTAATATTTGTCTCCAGCAAGAGTTGCCAGTGACTATTGAATGTGCATTAATCGTTATATTCCAATGTAAAAGCGTACCAATCTTGCCATAACAGGCAAATAGCCACATTCATGTCCTCTTGCCCGAATTGAACAAAGCCTTTCATAGGCATCTTTGAAAGCCTTATTCGAAAGTTCTATAGAGAAGTTACCCTGCACTTGATTACCCAAACCATATCCACTTGCATTATTCTTCTTTGTACCTAAGCCCTTAGTTCTACCACTTGTTTTTGCAACTGTCAGCTGCATGTGTGAAGTTAGAGTCTGCATGGGCAAAATAAGCACATTGCTGATTTAGAAGACAGTTTTGATTGATTAAAAACAAGATTAAATGCAGCGTTGGAAAAAATTAGGTATCTAACATGCCACCAGATAGACTCAACAATTCGAGAAAAAACCCAAGATTCAGCCTTCACCAATGCAAAAATAAATGTTTCTATGTCGTCCCAGTCATCAGATTCTTCAACTGAATCGCTATTTCTTTTCTCAACAGAGGAGAAGCTATCTTGTCTCTTTGGGAAGCTTGAATCCAAGTGAGAAACAGAGTGATCACTTTTTCTTGCATGCTTCGCCTCTAAATTTGATATTTCTGCAGCAGCTTGGATGACGATAACTCTCAACATGATTGCATTCGACAACCAGAAAGTTAGCCTGCATAGGAGGTACAGATGTACCAGTGTGAGTTTTAATATGCAATTGCCTTTGACACAAATAAATTTTCTGAAGCAGTATTCAAATAAAAAGTTCTACAATTCCTTGTAGCAATAACCTTAGAAAAGTGCACTTTTTCTTCCTAGTCACCAGCATTTTTTTGTTCTTTTTTCCTTTCCTATTTTATTGATGCTTCCATTCACCAAGTCCTGGCTTTCCTATTTTTCAATACTGACTAAAGTAATGTGCTTCACTGATACAAAATAGCTATGGGACTAATATATACCTTGGAACATCGTTTCCGCAAGTTTTGGAGACCAAAACTAAACCTGAGATAGCTGCTCTTGCAGCACTTGCCTGTTTAGCTCGGAATTTTTCTTTGCATGCATGAAGATAGAATCTAGAAAGGTGGCGAGCCGACGCATGAACCTTGCTAACAGAACTCCCATGCTCAGCAACCACAGAGTAAAGGCCAATCTCGAGAGTTGCAGCTTCCCTTAACTCTTCCTCCAGCATCTGAATTCTGGAATATGATTCAGTTCCATAATCACAAGATTCATTTCTTAGCACTTTCATTTGATTTTCTGCAACATTTTGACCATAAGCATTGGAACTTCTATCTACAGATTCTCTGTTCTCTGTTTCTTGAATAGTTTTAGCACTATTATCAGCATTCTTAGGCTTGTGTACATTTGTTGCCCTTTCTGTGTCGTGGCTTTTTCCAAAATATTCACTTTTTCCAGCTGAGTAGTATAACTGTGACTTGACATGCTTTAGTCGACCATTTGAAATCTGGACCCCAAGTGCTTGCCTAGTGGAGGTAACACCCCCAATTGTACCCAGCCTTCTGAAACCATTATGTGGTAATTTGTCGACTGACTTGTAGTCTGAAAACGATCTCTTTTCAGTTGGGAACTGTTCATCCTGTCCAAAATTTTTTTCTTCCTTCTCCCCATTCACTTCCAACTGAGCAACATCTATGCTCTTAAAAATGGGAGCATGTTTTTCAATGTGATTTTCATCATGTATGGGCTGAGTTAATCTATCAACTGGCTCATTTTAATATTCTAGATTGTTTCCTTCATTCTTTCCCTCTTTGCCGACACCATAGGTCACAGTTTCCTGCTCAAGGCACTCTATGTAGTTGCTAGATCCCCCATACATATCGTGATAGGCATCAAATGAGGAAGAAGATTCAGTTGAAGGGTTATACGAATTCTTCTGCAATGATGTCTTGCTTCTCCCAGGGACTTTGGACTTCAAGGTATGGCTGTTTCCTGGGTGTCCTGTATTTAATGATAAGTTAATGGACAAAGATTGTGGCAATCTTCCATTTGGGCGTTGATTATCCATTCCTGTAATTTCATTGACTGCCTTCAATCCATTCTGTAGATTTGTACATGTTAGTTAAAATGTGTGCTCACATGCACTGACAACCACATCCACGCACGTGTGGGGAAACACACGCACAGAGAATGTCATTCAATTTAAGAAGGAATTATGTCACCCTTTTCGAATAGGGACAATACACCCAGTTCGAGCAATACACAATGAAGATTCAGCGAAGGCAAAACGTTTGCAAATCAAGGTACAAATTAAGGAAAAAGCTATAACCATAAGACATAGATTACAAAGATTAGTGAGTGGAATCAGCTACCTTATCAGTCTGAGATGGTGAAGCCCTTGCAACATCAAACACAGAAGAGGCAACTGTCTGAGACGAATGAGATGAAACATCATCATCGGTGAAAGAAGCTATCTCAGAGTCGTCACCATTGAATTCAGCATGGGATTCTTGGCCATCCTGGTCTAATGATGTTCTCGAGGGTCTCACATTGAGTGAGGACTTCGAACTGCCCTTATCTAGGGGCTCTACTTGAAAATAAAGAGCTGGCTGCGGTGAGCTTTTGTAAGTCTTCTTCAAGTTCAGTGGAGCAATAATGGGCAAAACTTCTTCGATTATTCCAAAATCTAATAGATTTATTATAGCTGTCCCTAACAATTGCTCTTTAGTGGCTTTTTCTTTACGAGGCTCATACAATGAGAACTCCAAGCAATTCTTCTCAAATCTATCGCGGGCCTTTTTGTCTGGATGTAAAGTTACAGGAAGTGTGAAGGACTCATTGAATGCAATGTTCGCATCCCCAGTAACAGTTAGGAAAGAACCAGAATTTTAATCACCATTTTGCCACTGAAGCAATAGGGACTGAACCGATCTCAAAGACTGGGATGGGGGCCAAGGCTTAATCTCCACTACATTGACAAGGTAATCAATTTGAACCGAAGCACTCCTTTTTTTCTTTGACCTCAAACTGAGTACCATACCTGAATGATCTCACACAAATGAATGCTCTTCCCTAAGCTTGTAACTTAGGAGCTACTTATTAAGATTTTCCTAAGCTATAGAAATGGCCTTAAGACATGATCTTATGTCAAATAGGAGAAATGATTGTTGGACCAACCAAGACACTGTTTATGGATGAAATATCAACAGGCCTTGACAGCTCTACAACATTTCAAATAGTCAAGTGCGTGGAACAGATTGTACATTCGACAGAGGCTACCGTGCTAATGTCCCTCCTGGAGCCTGCTCTGGAGACTTATGACCTCTTTGATGATATCATTCTTTTGTCAAAAGGCCAAATTGTATATCAGGGTCCAAGAGCGCATGTTCTTGAATTCTTTGAGAGCTGTGGTTTTAAGTGTCCAGAGAGAAAGGGAACTGCTGATTTCCTGCAGGAAGTAATTACACGTCCAGCCTTCAATATATGATAGCCATAGTTCGCTTAAATATTAAAATCAGTCGACAATCAAGTTAGATTTGTAATAGCACGACACATAATTACCATCTCAAACATCATATTAATCTTTTGCCTTGCTGTTAAAAAGTTATGTCAAGAAAAGACCAGGAGCAGTATTGGGCAGACCGAAGCAAGCCATATAGATATATATCTGTGGCCGAATTTGCAAATATGTTTAAACGTTTCCATGTTGGTTAGCTTCTAGAGAACGAGTTCTCAGTCCCTTACGACAAGGTAAGAAGTCACAAAGCAGCTCTGGTGTTCAAAAAGTATTCGGTTCCCAGAAAAGAGCTTCTAAAAGCAAATTTTGACAAGGAGTGGATGCTAATCAAGAAAAACTCTTTTTATACATTTTCAAGACTTTTTGTTCTCAAAGCAATGAGCAACGTGTAACAATCAATGTAGGTCAATCATAGACAAGACTTCTTTGTATACAACATTTTTTGTGCAGTTTGTGTGCTCAGAGAAAGAAGTAAGTGGTCTAATAAGTACTTTCACATTGTTTTCTGTTTTTCCCCGTGATAATGAAACATATAATTGACCATGTGAGAATACATGCTCTTTTAGATATAAGCCAACGTAATCTAATGTCTGCCCTTGTGCTTTGTTAATTGTCATTGCGAAACATAACCTCAAAGGGAATTGAATTCTTTTAAAGGGAACGGAGCAAAGTTCATCATCTGAACATTGTAAAGGAATTCGAGGTATGAAAACTGACTTACCTGTAAATGTGCCAAAAGAAATATCTGCCTAAATGACATTATTTCCAAACTCTTTGCATATAAGTCGTATGCCATTTGAAAGTTCTTCACTTGGATTTATATTTCGGATAAACATGACAGGGCAGTTCTTCTTAAGTTTCAACTCATGTGGAGGCAATCCTTTAAGTGTATTCAGAAAATCTTGGTTTTCCAGTTGGTGCGATGCATCAAGAGTTTCATCAAAACTTAGATATGTTCTTTGTGGACCTAGGAATTTGTCGATTAGCATATCATTGATTTCATGCACAAAATTGTTTCGTGTCATCAAGATAGCTCTATTAACAATCGACGATGGATTATTACTGAATGCCTTCATATCTGGGAATACCATACTTACCAAAGTCTCTACTGATGAAGCATCATCTACAAAGGGTATATTTATTGGTGTTGGGATCTTGACTTCATTCATATGATTTGATATTTCTGTACCATCACCAATTCGAAGTAGAAAATTGCTGAAGTTCTTATCTAAATGAGCTCGTATATTTTCCTTTAGCCTTAGCTTTGTTAGTTGTTGCCATATAGGTGACATAACTAAGCTTGCACTAATAATATCTTCCTTATAGCCTCTTGTCACAACTGGTAATGTTTGGCGGAAATCTCCTCCGAAAACCATAGTTTTACTACCAAATAACACATCGCGACCAGTGACATCTTTCATCATTTCATCAAAGCGTTCGATTGATTATCATTTAACCATACTTGCTTCATCCCAGATAATAAGCTGTGCATCTCTAATCAACTGTGCAATCACAGTTTGCTTTCTAACATGACAACTTTTGGAATCGTCATCATGTAGAGGTATCTTAAATCGTGAGTGTGCAGTACGGCCTCCAGGTAAAATTGAAGCTGCAACGCCTGAAGTTGCAGTTGTAAGTGCTATACCTCCTGTTGATTTTATTTTTGCAAGAAGGGCTTGATATAGAAATGTTTTCCCTGTACCTCATGGTCCATCCACGAAAAATGATGTTGAGCTATTACTCATAATAGCATTTAAGATCTGTTCATAGGCATTCCTCTGATCCTTGTTTAGTTGATCAATTGCTCGAAGGTCATTCTCATCTACAGTTATATTCCTCTCAGCTTCTATATCTTTTGCTACTACTTCTTGTTGGGACTTTGGATCAGTGGTGTGTTCAACTGATAATCAGCTAAACTCTTTCCCATTGATCGTAAGTAGTTGTCAATGCATTGTAGCACTCTCACTTCTACAAGATGAATTGGGATTGAAGAATCTCGCCTTATATCTTCCGATAGAAAGTCTTGAAATTGTAGCCATAGCTGAGCAGGGTTCTTTGGGCTGCAATAAACTAAGATAGCAGCAAATAATTGACGCAACGAATTCAGCATTTGATACGCAACTGCTTCCGATAGACATAGCTCAGCTGCATAATCTGTTTGTAATAGTTCCATCATATCCGCGGCTTCACGGAATGAAGCACAAACATGTCCATTTACAGTTCTCAAATCTACAAACGAAGTCGGTTTTCTCACAGTGGTGTCGGCCCTTTGAAGGTGTGTGCTTTCCAAATTCTGCTGCTCAATAGGCTGGGACCCCTTAATTTCATTGCCATTGATATTGTCGGCATTGTGATTTATCAATTCATTGGTGTCGGCCATTTGCTGCTGAACTTCTCCCACGATTTGCTCCACTACCGTTTGGGACCCCTCACAATCATGCTCATGGACAACCTCCAATTGGGTTGCAATTCTCGTATGCTCATTATGCAATGGTCCCTCCTTGTCTTCATCAGCAACCAACTGTCCATGATCAGCAGCAGAAGCTTTTGTTTTTCTTCCCTCCTCGACATCATGATCTTCGGTAGGAATATCCGACTGTCCATGCGCATCAGCAGCGGAAGCTTTTGTCTCCTTGACTGCATGATCTTCGGCAGCAACGTAGGTGAGTTTATCCTCTTGGGATAGTATTGTTTCCTGTTCCTCAACTAGTCGAGCTTGTCCAGCAGAAATCTCCATTGCACCTGTTGACGTACCTTCGCCTACAAGCGTACCAGGAAGTCGTGCATGTTCAGGAGCAGTAATGACATCCATTGTAACTTTCCCTTTAGCTTTTGGGTTGCACACAGGTGTAATAACTACCCCATGCTGATTATTCGCAAGTAAATTTGAACCATGTTGCAGCCGTTTGGTTTGATTAGTTTGCTGTCGATATCCACCCTCGGTGAAGTTCTTCTTGCAATTATCAGACAAATGACCCAATCTCCAGCAAGATGAGCAATATGGTGGCATGTTCTGTGGAACAATTCTTTGCCAAAATCCTGATTCTTCTTCAACAGCCACCCAGATCCTCTGCACAACAGGCTTCGCTACATCAATCTCAACACATACCCTGGCCACACTAGGACGCGTTCCAACAGCTGTTGCTGAATCTAGGAACAATGGTCTACCTGCTGGAGATAAAATGGAGAACAAAGAGTGTTTATCAAAATAATGAATAGGTAAATTTGGAAGCTCAATCCAAACCGGTACTAGAGATGACTCTCTATGCACATGAAAATCCCTGGTCCAACGAAATACACGCATTGGATATTTGCTCAAATGCCAAACTCCTCTCGTCCAAATCCTGTTAAAATCTACTTCAGCAGAGCACTTGATCAAAACATGTCTATAGTCCATCAATCCAATGGAAATGTGATCTTTTAGATTTAACGAAGCAAAGAACTTGCGAATATCCTCTAACGAAGGTCTCCCATGAGAAAATTTTCCCACCAAAGTCCATCGAAACGGCGCTACAAGTTTTTCCGCATCTGCTCTAGAGAAAATGACTGCAGCTTCACCTTTATAAGAAGTCGCCTGCCGAATTTGGATTGGAGATGTTGAAGGCTGTGAAAAAAGTTGGGAGAAAGATTTTTTTGTGTGTAGGAGATCCTTGTCCCTCAGCCGATGGCTGAAGGGCAGCCATTCAATTTAGAACCAAGAAAGATGTTTTTGCAGAGAGAAAAAAGGAGGAAAGATTTTAGAGAGAAGGAAACAAAAAAAAATAAAAAATAAAAAATAAAACCTTAGTGTTATTCCACTTTGAGACAATATAATTAGGGTCCAACCAGGTAGATTGTTCAGTGAGTGCAAATATTTTGGTTGAGGTTCAATCACATCATTACGAAACCACAAACGACCAAACCAAATTTACAGAAAAATAATATCCAATAAATGATTTTTAAAGAAAACCTGTTAGATATAAATTGAAATAATGAGATGTCAAAAATAAAGTTTACATTAATTGCCGACATTGCCAAAATCTAAGACAGCAACCTCTAAACATCTCCAGAAAATAAAAACTAGAACCCGAATTCTGAAAGAAAACCTGTTATGTCGAGCTATAATAATGGCATGTCAAAGACAAAGTTTATATAGATTCCTGTACATGTGTAAGACAGCAACCTCTAAACAACTCCATAGAGCCTGTATAAATAATCACGTAAAATATGATACGCTATGCATAACACAAAAACCTATCCGTGTTGAAGTCATATGCAACAGATTCAAAAGGTAAATCACATACCGTCTTTGATGGAGCTATGATTGTGAAAAAAAAATAAAGGTCAAAATCAAATGGAGAAAGGAACTCAACAGGAGAATATGATATCTTGACACAGCAATACAAACAATGCTTACGGCGTAGCCAAACCTACGGCGGAAAAAGAAGAAAAGAAATTGGTACAACCAAACTGCCTACAAACGAACAGATTTAATTAGCTGGAAATCAAGTTTTCGTGTCCACTGACTAGAAATAAAGGACTTGCGCAAGCACGTAGTAGGATGTTAAACAGATAGAAGAAGATGATTTGGTTTCAATTGCAACACATTGAAAGAACTCTTGTACTAGACTTCACCGTGAGTTGCGTTATATAGCGTATAAAACTTTAAAATTTTTTGACGGAGGCAGTGTTTGTAATGTATCAATTTATATGGTCCGATAAATTATAAATGAATCTCAATCATTGTCATAAACAACTTGAACTAAAGATGATGCGTACCTTGTATAATTCTTTCTAACATGTATGATACAAACTACAAAGTCAACTAAAGATGGCCCGAAAATGTCCCATGTGATCTATATAGCACCTTTTTAAGTTCCCACCTTGTCACCACATGATTTGATGATTATTAACAATGTAATGTAGTGCTTGATTTTTTTTCTTTTTTTTAAAGGTATCAACAGTGGTGTTTGAAGTTATTTTTTTTTTGGAATCCGGGTCTCACAATTTGTGTTTTATACAATTTCGCACAAGTTGACCTCTAGTGTAAATTAAATCAGATATAGTTTAATGTAAATCAATGTAAACTGAACTACACCTGATTTGTTATCATTTAGTATAAATCAAATACAATTTAGTATAAGTTGATTATTATCATTCAATGTAAATTGAGGGTAGTTTGATGTAAGTTGAGGGTAAATTATTAGTTTACACCAACTTGTGCAAAGTGGAACTTGTGATGTCTCATTTCTTTTCGGGACATAAAGCAAGCACGAAGATGTGTTGAATGAAAATTAAAATGCGATGCAACTAGGACAAGAGAAACAGAGTGACTTCGGGCCAATTTTGTTTAGCCTTAAATTACTTAGTTTGGCGAGCTAGCGGGTGGAAGATCAAAAAGGATAAACTAAATAACGGAAATTCACACCACATCACAAGCAAGAAAAAGCCAAATCCTACCACTTTCCACTCATTTTAAGAGGTCAAAATTTTGGTTGCCACTTGTTGGCCGCACTCATAAACCACAGTCATTCTTTCCTATGCCCCTCTATTTGAACAAACTTCTCTAGCCATTTTTCCAACGATCCCAAAAAAAGAAAAAATCCCAGTTTAAAGTATGGAAATCCTCGTTCTTCTAGTCATCGCAATTTCAGTTCTTCTAATTTTCCTTCTTCTTCCAAACAAGAACATAAGATCCTCAACAATTCATCATCCTCCGGGCCCTCCAAGGCTTCCAATCATTGGAAACTTCCACCAACTAGACCCTTCATGCGTTCATAGATCCCTTTGGGAACTTTCACAAAAATATGGTCCACTAATGTTCATCAAACTCGGTTCAGTGGCAACCCTTGTGATTTCTTCGGCAAAACTGGCTGAAGAAGTCATGAAAAACCAAGATTTAGAATTTTGTAGTAGGCCAAAATTGACAGGCCTGCAAAAGTTTACGTACAATGGCTTGGACATTGCCTTAGCACCATATGGTCAAGAATGGAGAGAGATGAGAAAAATCTGTGTCACTCATCTCTTGAGTGCAAAAAGGTTGCTGATGTTTCGTCCGATTCATGAAGATGAAGTGTCACGAATGATTAGAAAGATATCTAAACAAGCTGCATCTTCTGATCCGGTGATTAATTTGAGCGAGACTATTGTGTCTCTAACTAGTACAATGATCTGCAGGATTGCTTTTGGGAAGAGGTTTGATGAGGAAGGTCATGAAAGAAGGAGATTTGATGGTCTTATTCGCGAAGCTCAGGCCCTTCTTGTGGCTTTCTTTTTCTCGGACTATTTTCCAGCGGTTGGATGGATTGATAAGTTCACAGGAATGCTTTCTAGACTTGAGAGTATTTTTGAGAAGTTTGATTCGTTTCATCAAGAACTTATAGATGAGCACCTCAATCCAAATAGGCCAAAGTCCATGGATGGAGACCTTATTGATCTCATGCTT